TTAACACCTTTATACAGAATGGTTGGTTAGACTGATGAAAAACTTCACAGTTCAATAATAGTAATGAAATAAACTCTGTGACAGTTGCTGTGCTTCTTGTCTGACTGCACTAAAAGCAGTGAAATAAGGAGGAAAAGAAGAGAAGGACAAGTTGTTCATGATAAAGAACCAGACTTGCTAAAAGGGGGGAGCTCTAAATGCTGCTATTAAAGAAAGAGAGCTGGAGAAAATAGAAAAAAGATGCCCTATTATGAAGACACCACTGAGAAAATTGCAGCTTTTAAACAATCTGAAAAATTCATGAAAGGCTGCAGCAACACTAATTCAGATGCATCCCAGTGCTTTGTCTTGGATTCAAGAGTGAAACGGATAAACTTATTAGCTGATCTGATCAAATATTGTTTATAAATCTGACATGTATGAAGCCACATTCCCATTAGCTAAACTAAAGTCCCTTTATTTCAGGAAAGCTTATAACATTTATTTTAAGAGCATGATTTTAGCTCTGCTAGAGTTTTGTGATGGACAATATAAAGCAATCTTTTTTCTTTTTTTTTGTAAATAGTCCAAAAACAAGAACCAGACAGAGAGCATGACAGCTCCACTATCTCAGTCCAACTTTGCTATGAGAAAATCCTTTGGGTTAGATTTTCTATGGCTCCTGATTTATATAATAGATGTGAAAGTATATGGAAAGGCCATTTGGTGACCTTTATATATGAACTAGTTATGTGAAAATGTGAGAACTCATACACCTGAATCCCTGCATTATTTATAAAGTAAAAATACATTCTGAATGAAAAGCTAACAATCTAGGTACATGATTTAGCAGCTTCATCAGCACAAACACAAGATGTCAGTTTCAACAAAAACCCTTTTTTACAACAATCGAGTTCATTGCAGTTTGTTAGAACTTGCCTCTTTTAAAGGCACAGTTCCAACATGTTCCCACTTAAATACAGACACACACCCTTTGTAGGGCCTTTACACTGACTTCCATGCATTTTTAGTGCATAAATAGGATTTTTAGGGCTGCTACATGCTCCATAAGAACAGGGACAGTTTTCTTGCTCCTGCAGCACAGGGCATCATTTTGTACTCTGGGCCTGGTTAGGATCCTGTGTGACCCTTTATTGTCCCACAATGGCAAAATAGTGGTGTTACAGGAGCAAATGATTATAGCAAAAGTGGTCACACGTATGTGGACCTAACATAAACTGTATAAAATAAGAATAAGGACAGAATAAGTGACTCAGTTAGGAAAATAAATAAAATTCTGTGCTATTCAGTGTTTTTACAACTTAAATTCAGTGCATCTGGAAATAATACATAATCAATAAACAGCTGTTGACATTTTTACTGTAATGGATATGTAAAAAAAAAAAAAAGCAGCAAAACCAGAGATATGCAAAAAAGACAGCAGCATGTTATATAAGTGACTAGGACACAACTTAGCCAAAATAAGCATGACTATAACAACTTATTGAGGTTGTTGGAAACAGTGATGGTTATAGTGTCTTACAGCTGTTGGGAGGAAGGATCTGTGATGACGCCCCCCTGATGCATTTAGGGTGCCGCAGTGTGTCACTGAAGGACATCCAGTTCAGCAACAGCTTCATACATGGAGTGGGAGACATTATCCAACAGAGATGTTAAGACGGGCATACACTGTACGATTTTCCAGTCGTGCAATAATTTTATGGATCGGGCCTAGTTTCAGCCCCGTTGTGCGTCATGCATGGTGAATTGTACTGGGGGTAACTAGGAGCGATCAGCCTCTTGTGACCACCTCCCAATCAGGAATCATAAGGTCGGGAGAAAATCAAACACGTACATTCGTGGGTAAATCCTGCTGTTGAAGCAGAGCTAAGAGCCGATTTACCAGAACCTTGAGCCCTGCGCATGGCCAAACAAGGGAGTTGCTCTTCTACCAGATTGACGAGTCCGACTCAGCGCCATCTCTCGGCACCGAGTCCGACATGTGGTTTTTGAACACAGTGTGAGCAGGTAGATTGCATCAGAGATTAGGGCAGTATGGTGTAAGAACAAACATAGTGAGCTGAGAAGTTTTAAACCCTGCGGTTTTGTTGTACATTGTAAACTGTAGCTGAGTACAACAATTGCAAATATCGTACAGTGTATGTCTGGTTTTAGGGACTGCACTGCACTGTCAAAGGAGAGGATTTATATATGTGTGGTTAAACTGGAAAAGTGGAGATGCCTGAGTTATCTGTCAAACAGCACTTTAAACACACAATGAAACTGGTGGTTTAGGCAAACATGCCAGTTCTGTTCACTTGCAGTCACTCCTACAAATTATCCTAGTGGGATAGTCCCACCTCCCATAGCATTGCACTCCTCCACTGTAGTCTTTACAAATAGTGTCAAAGCACACAGTGAGCTCTTTTTTCTGTCTGCTCCTCTACTTTAAGCTCTCCGCCTGCTCTTTGGGCCGATCACTCTGTGTGCCCTCCTTCCCCATTTCCACTATATCGATCTTCAATTACGTGTTAGGACTTTGGCAGATGAGCTTCTTTTGGAAAATTTATTTCATTGAGGAAAAACACACTTTTTGTCTAATACTTGCAACCTAAAGAAGGAGAAAGGTCTTTACTTATTCATCACCAGCAGATATCAAACCCTAACCCAGAATCATACATTAGGATTAAACTTATCCTCCAACCCAGGAAAAGGACTTTTTCCTTTGGATGATACAAGCGCAGTGGTTTCTCACACAGGACCTGGATAAAAATTTTTTAACGCTATCCACATGGGGCATAGCACCTCAACCTGCAGGTCATCTAGTGTCCATAGCTGTAGACATTAGATAACCTATTTAATATGTAGAAAATAAATGGTGGCTCTTTGTCAAGATCTATTTTGGTCACCAAGCTCATTTTCAAACCCCTGAGCTACAAACATGCAGCAAACATCTCATTAAAGGCACCTTACTGACAGTGGGTGTAAACAGCAACAACTTGGAGAGAATAACATCCTGTATAAACTAAAGAAGTTTGCCAGCATTACCCTTGAAGGTACAAATTATTCTAAACCTGGCCTCTGTGTCAACTTCTTCGAGCTGTCAGAAGTACCCTCCTCACCTCATTCAATTTATCTGAATCGAGGCAGATCACAGGTTTTATGTATCTAACTGAAGCTCCTGAACACCCCAGTTTAATTATACTTCAAATAAAGTGTAAACAGAAGGTAAAATAGTAATCTCCTCTAATTTTCTATATATGTTCTTGTAACAAGCTTTATTTTGGGTTTTCTTGGTATTGAATAAAACAACAAAAATAACAAAAAAACATATGGAGCATGGAGAGTCTGAATAATTAATATGTTACCCAGTGTCAGTAATTCTTTATGATAGGAATGTAGAGTATTATATATTTATAATATGAAATCTGGAAAACATTGTGCAGCCATCCAAGGCATATTAAGCCCACTTTACCCCAAAGCTCCTCAATAAAACCCAATTTCTTTCACAATTAGGGAATGTCCACTTGTGTTTGGTTAAATCTAATTTAAATACTAATATTATGTGAAACCCATAAACATAGAAGAAGAAAGATCCAGTTATTATTCAATATCTGAAGCTTTAAACACTGAACATGAATCCATCATCCGAAAATGAGAGAGAAGGAAACAGCTGCAAACCTTCTGGAACATGAAATCCACCTAAGCTGACAGACCAGGCAGCATTGATCAGTAAACCACTGAAATGCCGACAGTAACTCAGGAGAAGCTGCAGAGAACCACAGCCCAGGTGTGAGCCTTTTATTAGGGTAACTACTAGTTATGCACTTTATAAATCTGATACCTCAGAGTATTTTGAAAGACCTAAGGGCAGATTATAGTTCTGCAACCGCACACATCAAATGTCGCTCGGGTCTGGTTGCGAACCAGTTTAGTTGGTTTGCTTCTGCACCATCAGTCTGGAATTTCTAGGGACGCACAGCAGTTTCCCTCCAAAGTGCAAGGGGGAGCCTATTCAAGAACTCGTGAGAACTTCGGCAGATGGTTGTTCCTCGGTTTGTAAAAATGGCGCGCCCCGGCACCAAATCGAGAAGGACGACCACACAGGCAGCCGGAAAAGCATACCAAGGACCAATCATGGCTGCTTTTTGTCCGCGCAGGTTTGCGAGTGTCCAACAAGTAGTCAGGATTTTTTTGAGTTGTGCAATGACGGTCGCAGAACCTCTGCGTGGGGAGCGTGGTCGCGCTCAGAGACAGATTTGACGGCTGCAGAGGCTATGCATCAGAAGCATAAATTGGCCTTAAAGGTACAGTGTAGGATGTTCTTTTTTTTAGTGGATCATCAAAATGAGCTGTCTTCCTAATGGTCAAACATTCAGGTGATATGTTTATGTAAGGCCGTCCCACATGCTCGTCCCCATTTTCACTTACCAGTGGGGAGTCTGACATAGTGGAAAAACTGCAAATCTTCTTTTGGAAAGTAAGCTTGTATGAGTGATGAAAACAGCGTGCATAAGGAGAAATGGGCTCCTGCACGCACTCGCCCTGTTTAATAGGCTTTCCCTCTTTGGAACGGGTGCAGGGGTTGTGCATGTGGATTTTTTATTTTTTTTTAAGTGGAGAGGGCAGGTCTTCTCCACTATACTTTTAAAACAACATTCTCTCTCTGTCCATTGAATAACTGAATTTGAGCCATTTGGGGAAATTAAATGGCCAAAAATCTCAGTCTTTTTATGTATAAATCTGGTAAACAATAATCAAAAAGGCTGTAATTGATAGCTCTCAGGTTTGTTCTTCCCAAATATTTTTGATGTATATTTATCTTCCTGTTGAATTTTGTTCTAGGAAGATCCTTTTTCCCTTTTTTTTTTTTATGCCTCGGAAGAGTAATACACAGCATTGTTCAGGGACGCTCATCATGATGATGCATATAACACTACAAGCAACTTATGACCCAGACTGACCTTAAAGCAACTATTTGAAGTTTTGGTCGGGTTTAACTCGTGTTCACAGACACTTACACGGTTGTTTTCTGCTGCCCAGAGAATGAGCTCCTTCGGCTTGTCTTTGAGAGCTTCCTCCTTCTCTTGATACCACTCCTCACTGTGCGTCTCCTCATCCACCTCTTCCTCCTCCTCCTTGCTTGCGGTCCAGGAACTCATGGGCCCTTTGGGAATCAGCTGTCCATGGGTGTCAAGAAGCTCAAGCTGGTTGAAATCTTCGGGAAACTCCATTCTTCACTAAGTTTTTTGGAGAGTCTAAAACACTAGAACAAATGAGAACTGAATCAGAATGGTTTGAATAACCAAGGAGCTAAATAAAAAAACAATTAACATTATGTTACCAACTAATCTATGGTCCCAAAAGAATTAAATTAAATTAATACATTCCCCAAGGGGAAGAGCGATGCTGATCCCTATTGGCAAACTGTAAAAAACAAAAAGCATTTCTACTGCTGCTTTTTTTTAAACCATCCTACCCATAATGCTTAGTATTATGAAGAAGCCTGGCATCTATAGAATAATGAGAGTGGGTTTGGACAATTCAGGCTAAGAAAGAAAGCTTGAACACATGGTGTCTAAATGATAAGTCGACACCCATTGATGTTCACATATTCTTTGCTTTATGCATACAGCATAAATTACTACCATTGCTTGAACTATTCCATCAAAAGTCATATTTAACACAATATGAGCCTTAGAAAAGCAAATACAACAAAATAACTGTTTTAACACATTTATATAACACATTTATATATATGTATGCTGATGCACTGCAGTCTCTCTCTCATTTAATTTACTAACTAATTTACCGTTTAATTAATGGTAAAGTGGGGAATGGTGGCCTAGTGGTAAGGGCATAGGGCTTGGAATCCTGAGGTTGTGAGTTTGAAACCCATTCCGACAGACTGCCATTCCAGCTCTCTGAGCAAGACCCCTAGCCCCACACGGCTCCCTTGGCGCTGCACAGTGCAGCTCACTGCTCCACGAAGGGGATGGTTTAAATGCAGGCAGAGAGGTAATTTCTCCAATGTGAGATCAATAAAATT